TGTGTGTGTGTGTGTGTGTGTGTGTGTGTGTGTGTGTGTTGTCAGAGAGGAGAGAGAGTTTTAAAAAGCCCATAGAATTAGAATAATATGATCAGATTAAACTGTCTAATGTTAATCTTTTTCCACCCTGTAAAAAGTTAACATTCTTCTTAAGCAAATGAGCCAAAGGCCCAGTCGTTTTTTTTTTTTTGTTACGGGGGGGTAAGTGTCAGTCCTTGGAGAGCCTGTTTAGGGTGAGACAAACTTTTAACAGGACAAAGGACCTCGGTCATTTGGTGTTCAGTCCCCATGTGTTACCTTACAAAGGGACAAAAGCTCAGTCATTGCATGTGAGGTCCTGTGTCATGAGGGAAGGTGCAGAGATGCTGGCCGGCAGGACCTAGACCTCGCCACGTAACTTCTCGTACGTGCATCTCGTTCATGATCCGCACGCATCGATTTTGTCTTAAATCTGGCGCTTAAAATGTGAAGGATGCCATACAACAACAGTGAATGTCAGATGTATGCTGCTGTATCAACTCAAAGATGAATATATATTTCTATATATATAAAGTATATACTTTGTTTTCTTTGCAAGGCGGGCCGCTCTCTTTACAAGAAGCTTTCAAATGCAAACACTTTCTGAATAGAAAAAAGGCTTCCAAGGTAAAACAAAACAAATTGAAATTTAAAATTTAATATAACATTTAAAAAAAAAAAAGATGGTTCTTTTAGACCACATACCACCTCAAACCAGAAATACCTCAGATTTTTCTACGTATATCGGTTTATTATATATTTTGTTAGTTGTCTTGTCTTGTAGTAGATATATATTAAATATATATATATATTTTAATGTAAGTTGACTTTTATGACTAAGGATTTTTTGGGTTTAAAAAAAAAGTTCCAAAATTTTTTAGAAAGTGCTACCATTTTATGTTGTATACAAAAGAAGATGTAAATAAGTGTACACACTTGTAGAATACAGCCTATGTGAAATACCTGGGCATTATTTCACTTAATTTCCTTATGTTTTTAGTCATGTCTGTTATGTAAAGGGACAGTGGACCTTTTAAGGTGCTGTTTTTCAAACGGAATGCATCTGTCGTTAACTCGCCAACTGCAGTATTGGAACAGCTGCAATTAAATGCTGCGTCGTCGCATTTTTAAATTTCTGTAAAAGCTGTGAAGTCACTGTACAGATGAATTCTTTGGGGGGTTAGGGGGCGAACTGACTCTTTTATAATCCCACGCTCTCTTTGATTGCAGCTGTTCCCCGCGTCTCAGCTCTTGGCACCCAGGCTAATGTGAACGTTATACTTTAATGACGCTGTGAATTGATTGGCTCTCCATACAGCCTGAAAAGTTTCACTGTCCCTCCTCTCCATGGTGTTTTCATCTGTTTCCCCCCCCCCCCCCCCCCACTTTGGCAAATGAGACTTCACAGCAGTTGGTCCTCCTGTCCAGAAACAACCTTCCCCCAGAAAGCTTTAACTTCCTTTTGTGATATTAATCGCAATTTAAGGTTTCAACGTGACTCTGCAATCCTGACATAGGCCGTGCTTATCTTATTTCCTGTAGCCTGATCGCCTAGTGTCTGCCAGCCCCAGGGATCCTGTAATTTATCCCCTGTAGCTGTAATTTCGGGACTCCAAGGTGAGTCTCTGACTTTTCAGAATCTCTCACCGAGAGCTTTTTGAATGGCATATAATCTAAACCAAGCCCTGCTGGTAAATCTTCTTTCTGGTCATGTTGTGTAGCAACCTTCCTGTTTACAGAGGAAGGAAAGGTTGTTTTTAAATTATCCAGTATATGCAGTCGTGGTGTTTACCCCCACTCAAACCATACACTTGAGTAAAGACCTTGAGGTTTGGGAGGTGGGGGGGGGGGGGGTTGTTGTCCAGAAAGAGTCAGTACACGGGAGGGGGGGTAGCAGGCTCAAATGTGTTCGGTCATAGGGTTTAAGACAGCAGAAGGCCACAGTGTTGGTAGTAACGTATAAAATGTGACAATGGAGAGATCATAGTGGAGACCTGAGATGGTCTATTCCAGTGAGACTCTCAGTGATGGATGTTTCATTTAGTCTACATTTCCTTTTGTCACCTAGGTTGTCCTTAAATACCTGACTTGCCAACTTTAGAAATCGCTAAAATCTGTGATTAACATGATGGGAGCGACTACTTTTAAGTTACCGGTTGGGTGGAGGTGTGACGATTTCTGGGAATTTCAATGTAGCAAGAAGCAATATCCATAGCAATAGCTTAGATTCAGGTCAAAGTGTAAATAAGTACAAAGGGCAGTAGCACAACATACCAAATTATTGCGTTCCAGACCAAGATATGCTCTGTGCCAAACTTTCGAACATAGTGCTGCTCTGTTTGGGTTTTTCTTTTCACCCCCCCCCCCCCCCCCTTTGAATTACCCATTGACAAATTATTCACAGAATTTGTGAGTGATTATCCGACTGCTTATCAGGCCATTAATGGTTGCCTGCATGTTGGTGAACATTACTTTAGGGCAGGGGTGGGGAACCTGTTCCATGGAGGGCCGGTGTGGGTGTAGGTTTTTGGGATGACCACTCAATCAGCCAATAATAAAGCAGTGGTTCTCCACTCCAGTCCTGGGGACCCACTGTGATTGGCTGATTGAGAGACCATCCCAAAAATCTGCACCCACACTGGCCCTCCATGGATCAGGTTCCCCACCCCTGCTTTAGGGTAAAAATGTAACCAAAGTGGATACATTATTATTATTATTATTATTATTATTATTATTATTATTATTATTATTAGTAGTAGTAGTAGTAGTAGTAGTAGTAGTATCAGTCGTGGTACAAATAACAATAGGTATTGTAAAATTAATTTGTGTAATTAGTCGCTCCATCATCAAACCCCCCTTTCCAAGCTTAAATTCACCCATCTTCAACAGTTCTTTAACTTTAGACGGTCGGTAATGCAGTCTAACAGTCGTCCCAACGGCAAGCGAGCAGTAATTCAGAGCGTCTGCGTACCGAAACGCTCCGCGCATAGTGCGCATGCAGTGTGCCTCCACTAGTGTCCACGCGGACAGTGCGCGTACAATAACGCCAACCGCGGCTTGCGTTTGCGGTGAGCGGACGTCGAGTGAGTCACTAATTAGCGTTTTAAGTACTGAGCAGTCGCGTTTTTTCTTTTGTCTCTCTCTAACTTTCTCTTTTATCCTTTTAAATGCTTGATATCTTATTCCGCAGAGCCGTTTGCCAAGTAATGAATTTAGAAAGTGAACAAACTGTTGGTCAGAGTTTCGATGCTCTGGTTTTAATCTTGGACTGCGTTGTCCAAGGAAGCGTTGAATGTTTCATTTCTGTTGCATTCGATTTTCTTTATCAGTATTATATTAAATATATTTTTGGTTGTGGAAGTTTCTACAGTATAAAAGTTCTGTCGTGTCATATTTAGTTTGGTAGTTTTGGTTTTGTCGTTTTCAGTCGGAGTCTATAAGGTGCTATTTTAGTCACGCGCAATAAAGGACTAAACCTACAATTTCATCTGGAGTCTGGAGAGACCTGGGTGGGCGGCACGCCTCATGATCCAAGTGTTTATTAGTTTTAATGTAAACGTATCCATAAGGCACAACATGCACCCCCTCCCTCCCCATTTGCTTATGTATTTGGCCAGATTGACGAAGGAAGGTGTTTCTTAAATATTTTCCATCTGCTGTGAGTCTCTTTGTCCATATGGGCGCGACCTATACAATACTCACGTGTTTTTAAAACGATAATAATAACAGACCAGCTGTAATTCTGAATGCAGTCTCAGATCCAGGTTTTTCAGGAACCAGTTACCTCAGACCTCATGTGAACAGTGTTGATCCTCCATCGTCTTTGAGACCAAGAAAGATAGCAGCGCTCCCAGTAATAAACGGGACCGGACAAACCTCCCTTCTGTGACCAGGTGGAAACCAGCCGCCGCTTTTCTAACCACGCACCTCTGCTCAACGTGGGGAGAAAAAGAGTTCATTGGCAAAGTGTTGCCTTTTAATAATCTGCCTGCGTTTCTGTCTTAAAGTTAAGTTCATCTGGTTCAATGAACTTCACTGCAAATTCGCTGTGCGTGCAACTAAACATGAAAAATGAAAGTTAATACATGTTATTTCAAATGCATCTTGGAAATTGTCAGACTGTAACGTCGGGTGAGTCTGTCATGGATTTATTACTGTTATTATTGCTTTAATAACAGGGGTCTCATTGCCTTAATTATCACTTTGGAATCAGCGACGTGGCTCTTTTAGATGCGATGGTTCATGGGCTGCCGAATTCAGACACGCTCGGTG